CAACTATTTTAAAAAGATACCTTGCCCCTTGAGAGTGAAAGTAAACTTTCTTAATTGCTCTCAAGGGAACCTTCACATAGAAGGTAAAAAAAAAAAAAAAAGGTTGCCATGGGCACTATTTAATACCCTGAAGCAGCGTTTATCAGCTGTGTCGGTTGGCTGAAAGGTTAAGTGCAGCTGAGAAGTCAGCACCTGATTTACTTTCATGGCCTGTGCTAGTAGAAAATGGCATATATTTATTTAGTGGGCCACTAAAGCACAAGACACTATGCCAGGGATCATGTATTATCAGTCTTTTCCTTAGATTTTTAAAAATATTTAAATATATATATATTTACAATAAGGATACAATTTTTTTAAGGGTTTAAAACTACCATTTTTATTGAAATTCATTTTTATTTAATATTTCTTGCTTGGGTATCTAACTAAGTGCTATGGCAAACATATTAGTCCATCCAAGAGAGTTGGCTTTTGGACCTTAAAATATGTGTCAAAGTAAGGAAAAATTCTTATTTATTGGCTTTTGAATTTTCAAGTCTAAGATGATTTCAGGTCATTAGACTAATCAGCTAATCTTAGATAAGTTTTCAGTTACAAAAACTGTCCTATCTTGAAAACAGTGGTTTCCCAAACCTCCCATTCTGCCAGTGGTGTCATGGCAAATTCTAGAAGACTATGGCAACTCTTGATAAATACTCTGAGTTTCTAGGAGTATAAATCATCATAATTTCCTTGTTTCCATTCTGTGGTAGCCGGCCTTGATGCTTGAGTTGCATTCCCAGGATGAGAACTTATGTAGAAGGAGAATCAAACCATCATGGACAATATTGGGTCATAGTATCTGTACACATGTGGGGAGAAACAGGTTGGGGACAGAAAAATGATGCAGTCTAATAAGTCAGTTAACAAGAACATTTTCCAAATAACTATTAAACCTTTGGTATTTAATTATCAGAAAAAAAAATTGAGTCACCTAAGGACAAGTGGAACTACAAAGTTTGCATAATAGGGAGTTTATCTCTATTTCCCTGATTCCATTAAATGACTAAAGTTTTGTGCTTTGCTATTCTTCCTGCTGACATTATTATCTCCTTGCTGTCCCAAGAAAGGTGACTAATTCTCTGTTGGTTTTACGAAAGGAAACAGGCGGAACAGCATGACTCACAATTATAATCTTGCTTTTCTCTTCATACGAGAAAATTGGCTTATGTGTGTGACTTGATAAAACATTTAACTGAGAGGGAGCCTTACTAATTGCATTCAATGAAGTGAAATGCCCCCAAATAAGACCATTTATTGGTTAAATCACATTATCAGCAGAGCTATAAATCTGAATCATCTCATCCTAATGAAATTTACAGACTTTTTTTATTCATTTCAGTCTTCATGTGTACGTTCAGCTTTATGCATACGTACATATACAGCTGACCATTGAACGATGTGGGGGATTAGGCGCACCAGCACCCCACACAGTTAAAAACCCACGTATGATTTTTGACTTTATTTTTTGATAATGGTGGCAATGATAACAGTATGAAAGTCTTCTTGAAAAATTTATCACAGTAGACTTAGGGTCCAGCAGTTGGATTTCCAAATAATGATCAAAAAGAGATAGAGACTCTTTTTGAGTAGGATTATTCCTGAAGTCTTTTTTAAGTGAGACAAAGTTTTTACCTACAAAGAAGGGGTAGAAGATGATGTATCCTCCCTCCGCAAAAGCAAACCAAATCTTAGTTTTCCAGGGGTTATCTTTAGTTCTCTTTGACACTCATTTTAGCTTTGAGAGAGAGGACTTGGTACTTAAGAAACGAGTCCAAGTTAAATGTCCCTCCTAAGTAGTTCCTTCTGCTGGAATGTTCCATGGTATTGTCATTGTGTGGCTTTCCCTTTGATTTTGAGTTCTTTGAGGGAAAACACTGTATCTTATTTACTATTGTGATATCAGTACCCATAAACAGGTCAGGAAGGAGTAGCTACATAAATGTTTACTGGGGGCGCCTGGGTGGCTCAGTTGGTTGAACATCCAACTTCAGCTCAGGTCATGATCTCGTGATTTTGGGAGTTTGAGCCCCGTGTCTGGCTCTGTGCTGACAGCTCAGAGCCTGGAGCCTGCTTTGGATTCTGTGTCTCCTTCTCTCTCTGCCCTTCCCCAGCTCTCTCTCTCTCTCTCTCTCAAAAGTGAATACTTAAAAAAAAAATTAAAAAAAAAAACAACAACACAAGTGTTTATTGAAGGCACAAATACACTTAGTCTTATGATGCATCTACTACTTTTCTTACAATATAAAATTATTTTGTATAATTCTATTTGAAATTATCTTCAGAAATAAATTCCTGCAGAATTTTCTCCAAGGTAGTAAAAATCTACCCTTTCAGGGTAGATTTGATTTTTTGGAGGTAGAATAACTTGAAACTAGATTTGAATGAATAAAGTATTCACTCCTGCCAAACAATATATATTTTTTTAATTTTTTATTTTTTTTTAATTTACATCCAAATTAGTTAGCATATAGTGCTATAATTTTTAGTTTTAAATGAACCACAACAAAGTAGATTTGTATGTTTGTTGGGTATATGACAGACTTTGCAGGTGGTTTCAAAGAGGCATTCCAAAAATGTCTTGATCAGTGGTTGCATCATTGAAATTATGATATGGTGTCCCAAAGAAACAAAACTGAAGAATTGCACATTTGATTATGTAGACTTCCATGTGACAATAACCTTCCATTTGGTTACTCCTATTCTGATGCCTTCTCTCCTTAAGTTTTCGAGCAAAGCTTCTAGACTTATTTTCTGTTCTCCCTCTAAAACTTTCAGTGCCTCTTATTAGCTACATATTGAATTCCAAATGCCTTAACTTGGCATTTAAAGCCACTCATTATTGAGCTGCAGCCTAAATGTCCAAATTTATGCCTACTTTTCCCCTTCCATGTAACCCGAATATCAACCAAATGGAGCCAGTCATTAGTCCCCATTCAAGAGCTGTTCTTTCTCATAGTATGAAGTGTTCATCCAGTCCATATCTTTTTATATAAGCCCCCATTCTCCTCAAAATGCCACTTTAAATGCTAGCCAGCTTGAATTCTCTCTCTCTTCTTATATCATCACATCTGTAAGTTTTATGGACTTTATAATTTCTACCCTATTTTGTGGCTTTTATATGTAGGTCTTATATGCCCTTTTTGACTCTATGCCATTTGAGCCAGTCAGCAGATCTCCTTGGGCCTTGACTCCATGCCTCTTAACACAGTGCCTTGCATATAGCAGAGCTAAAGAAATATTTATAGGGGTTTTAAGTACATAGGAACACATATAAAAACCAGCAGCATCAAATGGTTTGTCCATTTAAGACTATGGACTCTATGGCAATGGCCCTCATATTTCTTTAAGGGCGTTCAGAATTTGGAAATCTTTATTCGTATAAAAACCTAATGGTTGTGCATGTGATTCAGTAATTCAGCATTACAGACTAAATTATTATAGAACCATGAATAATTGGGATACTCAGGAAATAGGGTGTTCTGAATAATTTAATTTTCTGGTTAACTTGGAGTTAGGCAGAAAATCTTCTTTGTTTCATTTCTTGTTGAAAAATTCTTTCTAAATATGCTAATTTCTGATCTTAGGCAAAGAGCATCATTAAAATTTTCTTTGATGAATGAGGATATTAGAATGCCTCTGGGTAATTATTACATACCTTAATTCTCATTTTATATTACCACATATGAACAAAAAAAGGTTTTGAATTTGGATTGTATCTCTAAGTTTCTTTTCTTTTTCCTATATTTAGCCTTGGATATTATTTTTGGATGAAAACAAAACCTGATTTATATTTTTATACTCTTCACCATAGAAAGAGACAGAGTATGTACTTGTCTTAATGAGTACATTCTTCACTTTCCTTTTTAATTTTTTTATTTTTTACATTTATTTATTTTTGAGAGACAGAGCACGAGTGGGGGAGGGGCAGAGAGAGAAGGAGACACAGAACTGAAGCAGGCTTCTGGCTCTGAGCAAATAGCAAGCATTCAGCAGAGCCCAACGCGGGGCTTGAACCCACGAACCATGGGATCATGAACTGAGCCGAAGTCGGACACTTAACCGACTGAGCCACCCAGGCGCCCCACATTCTTCACTTTCAATCGACTATTTCCACAGTCTTTTGCTATATAATTATTGGTAAAATTTTATTTTATTTTATTTTATTATTTTTTTTAAGTAGCATCTTAGAATTTTATTTTATTTTATTTTTTTTATTTTTGTTTTCAATATATGAAATTTATTGTCAAATTGGTTTCCATACAACACCCAGTGCTCATCCCAAAAGGTGCCCTCCTCAATACCCATCACCCACCCTCCCCTCCCTCCCACCCCCCATCAACCCTCAGTTCTCAGTTTTTAAGAGTCTCTTATGCTTTGGCTCTCTTCCACTCTAACCTCTTTTTTTTTTTCCTTCCCCTCCCCCATGGGTTTCTGTTAAGTTTCTCAGGATCCACATAAGAGTGAAACCATATGGTATCTGTCTTTCTCTGTATGGCTTATTTCACTTAGCATCACACTCTCCAGTTCCATCCACGTTGCTACAAAAGGCCATATTTCATTCTTTCTCATTGCCACGTAGTATTCCATTGTGTATATAAACCACAATTTCTTTATCCATTCATCAGTTGATGGACATTTAGGCTCTTTAAATTATTGGTAAAATTTTAATTCCATCATATATGCTATATTTATAACTTCATTAGTATATCAATATTTGTCAAACTTATGATATATTTAGCATATGTGTATTTATTGTTTAGCCTTTGATTCAACTTTTTCCCCTCATAACAATTTCTGTTTTTAAAACCTGTCTGAATTGTATGTAGTTTTGAATTTGTAATTTAACTGCTTTACTCTGACATTATTCTTTTGTCTGCTACTTTTTCAGATGTTTTTGCAAATCACAATAATTTTTAGATAATATCAAGACAGTGAGGGAAAAAAAAAAGGCAGTAATCATGAACACCAAAGATTTTGTAGTTCTTCCATGGGGGAGACCTGGAAATTCCGTAAAACTAAAATACAAGTAAGTGTATATATATTTATTACTTAAGTGAAAATAATTGCTAACATTTCTGTAATTTAAAGTATTTTTTTATATGAGGCTGTGTAGAGTTGAACTTAAATTTTTGAGTTCTTTCCTCCATTTTCTTTACATCGGTGCATTTTTATCTATAAGAGAGTAGGTTTGAAATATTTTAAATCCCTAATAGTTTAAAAAATGAGGACTAAAATTATTTCTGCCACAATATCAAAATGAAAAGTGATAAATGAAGTTTGGGTTTATTGACTATTGAAGCAGTCGAACAGAAAGTTACAAATAGTTTTGTGACACTTATTCAGAATTAAAAAGAATCACCCTAAAGAAACTGAAAGACCCTGAAATTTACGGAGACTGTTGGGCTGAGAGACCTTTAAATAGAGAATAGAGAGTACTAACTATCCCTGCACTTCACCTATTAAGGGACAGTATGTTGAATGCATCTCTGTCTCGGAAGGATACCATCTGTCTTGGATTGCCTTGTGAACGCATTCAGCTAGAACCAGGCAATTCTGGTATCTTGGGAATTTTATGACATGGCAGGGGTATGGGAAGTTTCAATATACTGCTTCCCTTTGAGGTCATCTAGTGTCACTGGAAATTCCCAAGGCCTTCCTCTCAGAAATCACTAAGGGTCAGTCAGTCTGGGTTGGGGACAGACTGTCAATTAAAAATTTTTTTTTAATGTTTTTATTTTTGAGAGAGAGAGAGAGAGCGAGCAAGATGCGGTGGGGGGAGGGACAGAGAGAGAGGGAGACACAGCATATGAAGCAGGTTCCAGGCTCCAAGCTGTCGGCACAGAGCCTGACGCGGGGCTCGAACTCACGGATGGTGGGATCATGACCTGAACTGAAGTCGGACGCTCAACCAACTGAGTCACCCAAGTGCCCCCAGACTGTCAATTTTTAATCTGTTTTGAGTTCCCTGAATCAGATCAACAGTCCTGTGGTTATTCAGTGTCTTCACACTTTCCTAATTCTTCCTTCACTTTTGAGATGATTGTGTGTAAGAGCATGTGTAAGCTGGAAAATGTTATACAAATATATGGCAATCTCAGTACAGTTCACCCTTGAACAACAACAAGGATTGGGGACACTAACCCCCTAGCACAGTCAAAAATCCAGAACTTTTGACACCCTCAAAACTTAACAACCAATAGCCTACTTTTGACTAGAGACCTTATGGGTAGTATAAATAGTCAATTAATGCATATTTTGTATGTTGTGTGTGTTATATAATGTATTCTTACAAAAAAGTAAGCTAGAGAGAAGAAAATGTTATTAAGAAATTCATAAAGAAGGGAAAAGACAACACCGTACTGTATTTGTCAAAAACAATTGTGTGTAAGTGGACCCATGCAGTTCAAACTCCTATTGTTCAGTATCATCTGTATTATTTTTACCATTTTTTGGTGGGAGGGAGAGCAATCCCATTGCTACTATTACCAATTTTCCTTTTTTTGTGTAAAAAGGAAAGGGGACGTACATAATTTGATTATGGTCATATGTTTCAAGTCTGTGTTTATATACTTATAAACCATTCATCCAACAAACATTAATTGCGTGTATTCTACACACTGTGATAGGGAATGGTGGACATAAAAGTAAGAAGACACAACCTTTGCTCTCAGGTAGCTTGTGGAGGATGTGAATAGATAGAATCACATTTACAGTATGTTGTGAAGCATGGTATGATGAGAAAGCATAAACTGCTGGGGCAGGGGTGAGGAGGTCACCAAGCTTTGCCTGAAAGATGCAGTTATTTGGGTAGTTACTGGGGAAAACTTGTGCAAAGGCACAGAGGCCACATACTTTGGGAATTTTCAGACACATGCAGCAATTTATGGGACAGAGAACAGTGTTGGAGAGAAGGGAAGGATTGTATAGATAGTAAATTAACCTCTATGCCACACTAAGGAGTTTGGAATTTATTTTGGAAGGGAGGGGGAATCACTGTTTCATGGCCTTTAGGACTCTGATCCACCCATGATCAGCAACCTACAAAAGCTAGGACAGGAACACCCACTCTGTGTTAATATCTTTGGAGTTCCCTTTCTTACCCTTTCCTTATTCCAAGCCTCTGCTCATTTGATACTATCTTAATGATTATCTTGACCTTGTCTGACATTTTGGTGTTCTCCAACATTTGTCTTTATCTTTCCCAGCCCCCAGCTCATTTCAGTAGGTTATTTCTGGCCCTTGCATTTGTTGGGTTGACCTGGTTTCTGCAGGATCAACCTTAGTTTTCCTCAGTGGCCTTACCTGCACCACAT